CAATGTCATTGCTATATCAGCAAATGCCGGTGCTTTGTGTACCTGGCACTGATCGTTGACGCCTTCATCGCGCCCGGCACGTACCGGCAGAACGTCGCTCAGGACTTACAATAGCATCTCGAACTACTATCTACTGTACCACTCTTCAGTTTACTTTACCGCCTTCTTCCATGCCACCTGCTTTAATAGTACCACCATGGCAGTTAAACCCTCGGAAAGTTTTGTTTCCTTTCGATGATTCCAAACGCTTTTTCACAACAAGTTATGTTCAACAAACATTTAATCGTCTAATTTCAACAATCAAAATAGCAGCTTTGCTTACACTAATGGTTCCAAGGCCAATAACCACACCGGATGTGCAGTTACTTGCACTGAGCATTACCATAAAAATTGTCGGTTACCGGATGGCACCTCAGTATATTCGGCTGAATTATTTGCTCTTTTTCTTGCATTGCAACACATTCAACAACACACCCATACAACGAAGACAATAGTGATTTGTTCGGATTCAAAGACAGATGTACAGTCTCTTATTGATCTAATATCAAATTTCTATGGATTCCAGGACATACAGGCATCATGGGCAATGAACGGGCTGACAAACTAGCCAAGGAAGCTTTGACAGACCCACACATGGAGATCCCTATTGGTCATGCGTCTACAAAACAATCCATTTGCACAATGACAAAATATTTTTGGCAACAATGCACCGATACTACCAGAACACAAATTCATGATATCAAACCAGGCATTATCCCCTTGGCCATCAACGCGTCGTAAAGACCGTCTGGAGGAGAAGGTGCTGGCCCGTCTGCGAATCGGACACACTACACTCACGCCTAGTTACATATACTTAAGTCAATCTCGTCCTCACTGTCAGCCGTACGATCATCCACTTTCGGTTAAACATATTGTTGTTGAGTACACAAAATATCAACAGCACCGCAAAGATATGCAGGCCTTTTGTCGCAAGCAAGATATCGAGTTTTCTTTAAAAAACGTCTCTGGCGATGACCATCCTGAACTGCTGAACATTGCCTTTCACTTTCTCAGACTTACCGGCTTGCTTCAAGCTTTGTAAACGTCAATAACCGTACCCTTTTCTTCACATACATGATAACATCAATTTGCAATAACATCATCCAGGAGTGAAATGGTCTGAACAGGCCGAAACGCTTCAAACAAATAAACAAACTATCGCTAACATACTACTCGTGCAACCCGACAGCGCAGTGTTCATTGCTCTTCGTAATCCGTCCTTCTACGAACGCGCTTCCCTGTCTGTCAGTCCGGGCCGGCATCACCTCGATGCCGGCACCGAAATTTCAAACTGGACCAGCACGACCAACGCTGAGGTGCTAGTCCCAGCCACTCGGCCGCAACCAGCCGGTTGACAGCCCGAGTCCTGAGGTGCGGGTGGTTACGCTTGGGTCGCACCGCACGGGGGCTCGGGTTGTTAACTGAGGAAAACAAAGGGCAGCTATTGCCACACTTTCTCTTTCGTCGCCGAAGACAATGACGTGCGCATCATTAGTGACCCCGACGTGATCTACCGACGCGTCAACTGAAAATGGAAGGAGACAAACCAGACGGTGCGGCAATGGACCACGGAACGCCTAGGGGCGCCGCACCGTTTGCGTTTTTCGGCTTCCTGCCTTCTCGGGTGAAGAGACAGAGCTGTGGCTGATGCAAGTGAACTGCGCCTTCGACGTTTCCGGAATCGAGGATCCCGCCTCCAAATTAAACTGCTTGTCGCGAATCTTCCGATGTCCGTGGCCACTCAGGTTCGCGATGTCATCATCGGACAAGCTGGAGACTACACGGCCCTCTGCGAAGCGTTGCATAAGCGATTGGCCATGTCCCGTGCCAACCGTCTGGAGGCCCTCTTACGCCATTAACAGCTCGGGGACCAGGCTCCATCCCAGCTTTTACGCAACATGCGTGAACAGTTGGCGGCCGGTGATGCCACGACTGACAGTGGCCTTTTGAGAACGCTGTTTCTACAACGTCTTCCCCAAACGGCCAGAGCAGCTCTCGCTTTGCTGCCAGAATCAACATCCTTAGATGATATGGCTCAGGCGGCCGATCGTTTTCTCGACGCCTCGCGCCTCGCCGCTGCCACGTCTCCTCCCTGTCGGAGTTGCAAACCGACGCACAGCCGCCAGCCGGTCATACAGACCTGCATGAAGCCATCGCCAGCCTGACAGCCGTGGTTAGCAGGTTGGAGATGTCGAATCGGCGATTGGAAAAGGCTGTGAACCGGTCGCAACAGGTCAGACCTACGACTGATTGGAATTGCCGACAGCGGTCCACATCGAGACGGCGCCGTTCTTCACCAGTAGTGGACCGTATCTGCTACTACCACCAGCGCTTCGGGGCAGAAGCCCACCGTTGTGTTCAGCCTTGCTCATGGAAGTCCGATGCGGAAAACGAGCAGGCCTGAAGCCGCTCGCTCCCGCAACTTCAGGCCAACTGCCGTTGGCGCAATTGTTTTTCGCTGAAGACAGCCGGCTCGGTCGCGCGCTGCTAGTGGACACTGGGCACAAGTCAGCATATTACCGCCC